TGGGCTGCTCCCGGCCACCGCTCCTCCTGTCGGGCTCCTTCCGAGCCCCCCTGCTCCCGCAGCCGCGGCTCAGAGCGGCCCCCAGCCTCCGGCCGCCCCGCTGGGCAGCGCCTCATCCACCCCGCCAAGGAAGAAAAAACGATATCCCCTCCTCTTCCAGGAGCAAAGGGAAGGGCGAGCAAAGGGGAACGCGGAGCCGGGGGTGAGCGGGTACTGGGGAGAGGGGACCGGGCTGGGACCGGGCTGGGACCGGGCTGGGTGCGGGCTCCCGGTGACACTCCGAGGAGACCATGTCCTGCCTCAGCATTTTCCAAGCTACCCTGTCAATAAGGGAATCCGCCGCTCACAGTTAACCTGCGAGGTGCCAGCGCTCCATAGGATTCCATAACCCGCTGCTCCCAGCGCTGCTCCCGGCCGGCAGGGATGCTCAGCCGTGGTCCTGCTGGGATGATCTGTCCTGGGAGGCACAGAGTCCCCCCTTTTCTTGGAGCAGCCACCCGAGGGGACAGAGCCAGCAGCCCCCGGCCCCCGTGTGCCATGGGGAGCCACGGGCACAGTCCTTGGAGCCCGGGATGTGGCCACCGTGGACTGCACGAGAGGGCACCCAGAAATGCCAACCAACGCCAGGGCAGCCACCCTTCCCCATCCCCTTCCCGCAGCCCCAGCAGACCCCCGGGGCAGGACCGGGCAGGGGACACAGCGCAGAGCTGGCCGCGGTGTGGCCCCGGGGATAACTCCGGGGGTGCTGCTCACAAGGCCAGCCCTGGCACACAGGGAGAGCTTGGCAGCCAGGCACTGCTGCTCCTCGGGCACTGAATCTCCGGCCTCCGGAGGGACGGCGCAGTGGAAGGAGCGAGGGGACCATAAGCACTGAACCAGGCGCGGTAGCGAGGGAATAAATAAGGATAAGGGAAGCAGGAGAGTGAGGGGGGCAGCAGATTGGTCTCCGGGGCCCAGCTGGTTCTGACATCTACAGCCCCATAATCATATTCAGAACAGCACCAGGCTGGAGGCAGCTCTCCTCCAGTACGGCAATAAACGAGAGCAACACTCTCAATAATTCAGCACCAGGAGAGGGTGATAAAGCAGCAGAGGCACCACTGCAGGCAGCTGGGGTGGGGGGCTCCCTGTTCCCTCTTATATCTCAGTGATCCAAACCCTTTCCTCTCTCTCTGTGCCCTGTAAATGCAGCTCCAGCTGCGACTTGGGGTCCCCTCCAGCCTGCCAGACCCCCCAGTCCTGCTGTATGGGACAGACAGAGGGGCCCAGTGCAGCAGAATGAAACCCCTCCATCACCAGCAGACAAAACCTGGGGGTCACTGGGCAGGGGCAGAACTGGAGCCAGGGCAGGGCCAGCAGCAGGAGCACCTCCCCAGCTCTCTCCCAGCACCATTCCACCCTCTCCCACTGCAGCCCTTCAGACCTGCACAAACAGAGCCTGGAGCCCCTGTGCCACGTCCCAGACCTGTCACCCAGACCGGGCACGGGGCAGCCGAGCTGCAGGTCACCCACCCCGCTGCCCTCCCCTCTCCAGACACAGCCAGTGGCCACAGCCCAGCACGTTCCAGCAGCCCCCGCAGCCTCCGACCCCACACACAGCAGGGAGGGAGCAAAGCCCCCTCCCCAGCACAGGAAGGGAACCACCAAGGCATCAGTAAACACACGGGTGGCAGAGGTGGGGACAGCCCGGCCCTGCAGCCCCCAGCTCTGCAGCTGACCAGCACATCAGCCCAGCAGTGAGCTGACCCTCTGTGAGCTGACCCTCTGTGAGCTGACCCTCTGTGAGCTGACCAGAAGTGAGCTGACCACCACGTGTCCCCCTCGCTCACACCTCAGCCCTTGTCCCACTCATCCTGGCCCTGCTCCCTCCCAGCCTTTCTGGTCCTTTCTAGTAGCTCTTTCTACACATTTCCCATGGGATCTCAGGACCCTTCCAGACAGTCCCCTCCCAGCAGGTCAGCTCCATCCAAGGATGGGAGTGTTCCCCTGCCAGACACCTCTTCATTGTTCTGCATGTTGGCAGCTCCTGTAGCAAGGTGCCACTGCCTTGGTCCCCGTCACCCCCTGGTCCCACTGGCACCCCCAGCCCATGCCAGGGCCCAGAGCAATGAATGCACCAGACTCATCCTCTCCAGCCCCTCGGCCTTCTTTCCTCCTCTTCTTCCCTGGCTTTGGTGGGGGAGCGCTGTACCCAGGGGGATGGACCTTGGGGGATGCGGTGTCCCCTCCGTGATGGGATGTCCCTAGTGCTGTGACACCCAGTAACGTGAGGGCAGGAAGGAGCCATCCACACCTGACCAGCAGGCTCCAGGCTGGCAGAGGGCATCTGCTCTGGTCACCTTGCACATACATCAGCCATGACCTGCCTCAGCCTGGGGACACCATGAGCTGTTGTGACGCCTCCCAGAGCCCTGGGGACAAACATCTGCTGCGGTGGCCAGGCCAGGGTCAGCACGGGGCTGTGTGCTGCTCTTTTCCCTCAGTAAGGACAGGGTCCCTGGCTCCTCCAGGGATGGCTCCTGGGAGCCGCACAGAGTACGGACAGACAGCAAGTCAGCACACACGGACGCTCACAGGCACGTCAGTCTCAGCTCTCCTCATGCAGGACTCACGTCACACCTGCGTGGGGCTCAGTGCCGGGGGGAGCCGGGGGTCGTGGGCAGCCTTCCTCCCATCCCTCCCCCGAGCATGGCTCCGTGCCCACCAGCCCCTGCCTGATCCCTGAGCCCCGGCCAGCCCCGCACCAAGCACCCATTGCCAGCCCCACACATGCAGGGTCAGCGTGCAGGAGGGACCCCGGGAGCAGCCAAGGCACAGCCCAGTGCAGCCTCTGGCATCCCAACCTCCGTACCTTTGATTCAGCCCAGCTCCTCCGGCGGCGCTTGCACTGGGCTCTCTAGAAAAGACAGGGAAGAGGAGGAAGAATTAAAATCGATGATCATCATCACTAACCTGTTACAGTCAATGCTGTCTGCTCATCGACTGCGCAGCGTTGGGCTATGAGCACGGACGTGAGTGTTATTCCCTGGAAGCCTGTGCTGGTCAGGAGCTGGTGGCCAGGCCAGGGGCTCAGCTCAGGGCAGCCAAGCAGCATCAGCACCCACCAGCACCATGCCCAGGGTGATGGGCACAGGAACCACCCCCCTTCAGCTCCACCAGTGCACCTCAAAGCCAACCCAGCTCCCACAGACCATGGGCCCCCTCCTTGGCTGCCCCAGAACCTTGCCAGCACAGCCCCACACACCCCACAGGGTGGGAGGGGGCACAGCTGTCACCGAAGTGCTGGCTGCACATCTGGGTTGGTGTCTCCCAAACCTTCTGCCCACAGCAGCACGGCACACGCTCCTGTGAGGAGCAATCCCTGCGGCACACGGCTCTGCTGCTGTCCTGGCTCTGGGCACTTCTTGGAAATAAAGCCAAATTTCAAAGAAAACTTCCTGAAAGCTGCACTTCAACTAATTGGCTTTTGCAGCATGGCCAACGCAAACATTCATCAATCATGTTAGACCCTCGGAAATAATGAGAATGGCTGGTACATCCCAGGAGTGGTTAAAGAATGAGGGGGAGCTGTGTGTGCTGCTTTGGGGGCCCACAAGTGCTGAGTCCCCGCTGCCCAGCTGCTCAGCCCCCACTGCAGGGGCAGCACCCCAGGATGAGGGTCCCGAGTGTGGGTGCAGGGACCCCGTGAGCTGCTCCTGGTGAGCACATGGCCCCGGACCGTCCGGAGACCCCTCCAGTGGCGGCTCAGGAAGCAGAGACTGATCCCAGGCACTCGTGTTAGCAAACACGGTTCTCAGCCGCGCAGCAGGATAATCAATTATGGTAATTCCTGCCTCAATGAATCAGATTCATGGAGGAGTACAGCTCATTAGGCTGGTGCTGACTTCCATTAGCACTCTTATGATAAAAACCCTCCAAACACTCTCACCCAGCACGATGCATTCACCAGGCTGGGGGTCTCTCCTCGCCCCGGGCCAGGGCAGACCCAGCTGTGGGACGTGGGTGTCCTAAAAAAGATGTTTGGGAACTCCCTGGTTCCCAGCAGCGTGATGACAGCCCTGCAGCTGCAGGCCTGCAGACCCTCCTGCCCCAGCCACCACTCCTGAGCTCTTCCAGCGCCCACCAGGATCCTGGCTGGGATCAGGAGATGGCACGGCAGGCCCAGAGCAGCAGGGCTGGGTGTGCTGGGAGGGCTGGGAGTGCTGGGAGCCCAGCCTGCCTGCTCTGCAATGAATAATTGACACGGCACGCTCCTGGGGGAGGCTCAGCGATGGGTAACGCCGCATTTCCCAAACACATTTCCCAAGAAAGCGCCTTCTGAGAAGCTCCCCAGAGCACCGCGGGGCCCCGCAGCCAGGACGTGCCTCAGCTGGGATGCCACGCTCGCTGGCACCGGCAGGGAATCACCAAGCCCAGCTCCAGACCCTCTGGTGCTCCCAGCAGCACAGGGAGCGGGATGCTCAGCCAGAGCCTCCCTGTCCACATGTGGGACAAATGTGGGAGAGGGAAACCCCTGGCCAAGCGTTGATGGGAGGCAGGAGCAGCTCCAGGCAGCATCTGGGGGGGGATCTTGATCCAGTCTCTGCTTTTCTGGCAGAGGTCTGGGCTGACTGATTCCGCCTGGAACCTCGCAAAGCCTCAAAGGGACCCGCTGCCAGAACAGGATCCCAGCAGAGAATGAGAATCAGGGGGTCTGCACAAGAAATGCAGCCTGTGTCACTCAGCTGCACCTCATCACCCCCTATCCCCACACTGCAACCTGAGGCAGGTCTGGCTCTGATCCGCTGGGAAACTTCTTGGTAGTTTCTCAAAGTACATTTTAACCCCCATTCCCTCCACCAAAAATCCTAAATTAATTTTGCTTTTAATTAAATTCATTAGCAAAGATTATCTGGCTGAGGAACAATAATGTCCCACCCCTCCCCCCACAGCCCTCTCTATTTATATCCCCATATACAGAACAGCAGCGAATATTTCTTTATGGGCCATTAAAGGTTTAATGTTTAATTTATAACCACCTCTCCGGCGGGTGGGATGGCCAGGCACAATGTCAACATTTTTAATTAAATGAGAAGGGATTTTTTTTTTTTTCCCCAGCTAAGGAATATAAAACATCCCGTTCCCAGCAGTGCTGGAGTCAGGGACAGGAGGGGCAGGGGCTGGGGCAGAGGCTCCTCCTGCACAGCAGCTCTCAGGACATGTTTCCCCACTATCCCGCTCTGCCCGGGGCCAAGCCAGGGCTGTTCCACATCCCCAGGCAGGAGCTGGGACATGAGCTGGGCAGCACCCAGAGGAGCCCTGGTGGGGCCAGCAGCAGCTCAGCTCTGGGGCAGCTCAGGAGAGTCCTCCAGCCAGCAGCTGAGGTCTGGGAAGAGCAGTCCCATCCTGGGGACAGCTCATGGTGCTGCCCCACTTTGGGAAGTGTTTTGCTTGGCTGCGGGGCCCGGCAGGTCCCTCGGGGGGCAGAGGTGAGAGTGTGGCACTGCCACGCTTGGCACAGCCCGTGCCAACATCGCTGGTCACCAAACGCCTCCCGAGCAACCTCCCAGCTGAAATCCTTCCTGCAACTTCTGCTGGTCACTGGCACCTCCTCCCCGCCGGTGACTGCGGCTCCTGCGGCATCACCAGCTCCTTCCTGCTGGTGAGGAGAACAGAGTGCTGCCAGTGCCCAGATCGTTCATGGCACCTGCCTGGCACAGCAGGCACCACCACAGGAGCCTGGTGCTCCTGGCATCCCTCCCACAGCCCCTCCATGCACAGCGCATGGAGCAGGAACACAGGAACGCGTCTGCGGCAGCCTCAGCACCACAGTGCAGCCCTTCCTGCTGGCCAGAGGTGAGGGGCAGCTCCGAGCAGGCAGGTTTCCATTAATGGAGTATTTTATCTTACAGGAGAGATTAAATCTCTGGACAGAGCAGAGCAAAAGCGCTGAATCAGCAGCTAGCTGGGGGTGGCAGGTTCAGCCACGAGCATTTGGCTCCAGCACAGCCGTCAGTGCTTCATCCTCCTGCATCCACACTCTGCCAGACAGTGCCAGCCCTGAGCCCCCACAGCCTGTCCTCTGCCCTTGCAAGCGCTGGAGGAGCCACACGCAGCCCCACGGAGGGGCACCGACAGACCCAGAGCAAGCCAAGCGCCAGTGGCAGGGGTGAGCTGCCTTCCTCCCTCCCTCATCATCCTCTGCACGGCACTGATGGGCAGGAGGTGTCCTGGCACAGCTGCCATGTCAGCCAGCAGGTCCCCAGCCCTCCCTGCGGGCTCTGCTCCCACCCACACCTCAGCAGGGTCCCTCACAAAGCCCACGGACACGACTCTCGTTCTCCTGCCCATGGACAGGACTCTCGTTCTCCTGCCCATGGACAGGACTCTCGTGCTCCTGCCCATGGACACGACTCTTGTGCTCCTGCCCATGGACAGGCTCTTGTTCTCCTGCCCATGGACAGGCTCTCACGCCCAGCACTGCCTGCGTTGGCTGCAAAGCCAGGGAGGAGCAGAGCAGTCTCTGCCCACACACCCACATGTGTGCTCACGGGAGCAGGCGTGCAAGGGCCGGCTGCAGGGAGCCAGCAACGGAGCAGGGATGGTACTGTGCCGCTCACTAAAAGCATGAGTGTCACTAAATCAATAATTCATTTACTTTAATGAGATAAGTACTTGGAAAACTAATTGCAAACCTGCTCCATTTACTCCAACCCATTATAGCCTTTAATGTAAATGGCAGGAATGCTGCTGGAGGAAGGGGAATGGCTTTGGGTAGAAGATTGTGTTGTCCTTCCCCTTCTTCTAAGAAAGAGAACTATCAGTCATCAGCTGGGACAGCAGAAGCCAAAAGAGCTGATGGAATCACCATGTGGAAGCGCTGGTGACGGAATCACTGCGTGGAAGCAGTGATGGCAGAGCAAGGGGAAAACCCAGATCCCCCCCGGAGTCACCACTGTCCCTCTGCCCATGCTGCCACCACAGAGGGATGTCCCAGGCCGGGATGTGGCTTCACTCTTCTCCTGTGCCACAGACTCCCATCTGGAGCCCTGCTGGACGTGCCCCCGCTGCAGGTGGTCACTGCAATCATCCGTCGTTGGTTAGAAACGCGCGGCCGTATCTGGCACAGCATCCCCCGTGTCGCCAGCCGCCAGCTCCTCTGCCTCAGCCGCTGCTGCCCTGGCCACCCCTGCGGTCCCCGGCAGCCCCCACGTGCCCGGGGAGCCAGAGCGGGCAGGGCTGTCCTGGCAGGCCCCAGCAGTTTCCTGAAGAGGAGCCGTGGCCGCAGAGCCGCAGCCCGAGCAGGAGCCGGGTGCCAAGGGCTCACTTCTCGCTTGCTGGAGCAAATGGCAGGTCATAAAAAGGAACTGTGACAGAAAAGAAAATGTTCCAGAGTCCACAAGGACCAGTCCAGGGTAAATCCATCTGCTCAGCAATTTAGCTCGAAAATCCTTTCCAATCATCCGTGCTGTAGGCCCTTCATTCCCAGCTGCTGGCTCTGGTCAGAGCCTTTCCCACTCCAGCAGCTCACATGGGGTTTGTGGTGCTTGGTGATCCCAGAACACCCCATCAGGGACACCCGGGGAGGGGTCACACCTCGGGGAGGGGTCACACCACCCCTTGCAGAGGGTTTGGCAGTGGCGTGGGCTGTGGGAACTCTTTCCCAAGCCATTGGCTCACTGAGAAGAGCACATCATCCTTCCCAGGTCCCATGGCACCGTCTGTGGGACGCAGGAGGGCTCCCAGGGAGATCCCAGGAGCTGGGATCCCTGGGGCCGAGGAGAGCTGGGATAATCCTGCCTGGCTGAGAACTCCACAGCTCAGCCTTGCGCAGCCACCGCAGAGATCTCCCTGCAGGCATCCCGTGAATCCCACCTCAGCCACTCCTGTCTCACAGAAAATCAATGGCAAGCATCT